AGGCACAACTCGGTGGAGACGATGGATTGCAAAAAACCCAGGAGTTCGAGAAAGATAAGGTGAAGCTTGAGAGTATCTCATTATTAAATTTTGGCATTAAATCTTCAACTGAGAACCTCAGGAATTTTGAAGGGCAGAGGCACCTATAATCTCTAATGCGTGTTCGAGAACAGATTGCTCGGTTACCAGTTTGAGTAACTCACACTGCCGCGCATGCCATGCATCGTTTGCCCCCAAAAAGCCGAGCTGAGTAGCCGACAAATCAGCCGCGGAGCTCTCCTACTACTGCATGGTTCCAGACTCCCTGCTGCTTCATGCATCCCTTGGACCTGGAGCGTCTTAGTCCTGCGTTCACCCCCACAAACTGTTGCAGTACTCGCTGACGATGGTCATGAAAGGCAACAAAAGGGTTACTGATGAAGTCATGATGGGCGCAGTTCGGGGCGGGAGGGGGGGGGGGGCATTTTGCACTTTTGCTACTTCCCATCGACGTGTTGACCCATCTAGAGAGCCTTTTCGTGAGTTGACAGGTTTCACCATTGTGGCTCGATGAGCTTGCTCCAGCTTCACAGGAGTTCACAGGTTTCATCAGGTAAAGTATGCAAACCGGAACTAGTGGAGCAATGAAAGTGCAAAATGCCCCTCCCACCCCCGTTGCCGAACTGCACCGTCATGATGAGCTCCTCATCACACCTCCAAAGACATCCACGATTAATCTGGGATCTCGTTAGATAGTAGCTAGACATTATGTCCCTAGTAATAGGAATTGTGCTTCAATTACTGTGAACTTGTCAATGAGCTAAATCTATCGTATGGTGGTCGCTCACGGTGTAGCGTATTCCGTACTACAAAACCATCTTTATTAGCCTTGATCACTTGCTATCATTACCTGTCACCAGCTGATATATCCATATGTCGTATGATAAAACGTGCAGGCGATTTTGCTGCGACCAGGCGCTAGATTTCGTGACCCCCTCCCTTATAATGCTCTCACATATCAGATCTTACAACTTCCTATGAACCGTCGATGATATTTCCGTCTCAATCACGTCCTAGATCAAAAGTCCTCATGTTCTGCAAGGGCGCAGAGAATTTTTTAAGACAGACACATACAGACATAAGCTCCACATCGCTAAAACGCGGTGGGCGTGGCTGCGTACTTCATTTCAACATGGCGTAGACTGCGTTCCACCTGAGATCTTTCGATATGAGATAGCTATTATCTTGCCCGTTGGACAAAGTACAGTTACTCCGGAACGAAAATATCTCAGAAGCGCAAGTGCCGTCACTTTGTAGCGAAGTACGTAGTCACGCCCACCGCATCTCAGGGATGTGGAGTTCACTTAAAATGAGGGTGATACATAATTGTAATACAGTTTAACATCGTAGACATAGCGCCGTATCGCTGACAATCACGACACCGCCTCTGCGATACGAAATTCATTGACTCGCCGGGTGCCGCCAAACATTCGGGAATGAGCTGAGGAGCTTTGATTGAACGGAACTTAACAGCCCACTTTTATGGAAAGCCGTTTCTCAACGAAAATCACGAGCGTTTTGTAAATGCCAGTACTGCCGCCATTTTCGGGGACGTCATGAATTTTAAAAGTTGTTTTTTAAGGTTACTGGAGGAAGTGCCTATTATCCGGACGAAGGGGTGAGACTGAGTGCAGAATTTTTATTTATTCATATATCTGTCAGGCGGAGTCATGTCAAAGCCCAAAAGAAAACGCGGCACCAGTTGCCACTATTTGCGAGAAGTCGAGGAACAAAATAGTTTTGTTGAAGGCGCACGGCGCGGAAGACACGCCAAAGCGTGACATATTGAAACTAGCATTTCCTACCATTACGAGGTTAGGAAGAAGAAGTTCTTCTTCTGAAGTATCGTGAAACCCCGCGGAACAAGACAGAGTGCTACCAGGCCTATCTCCGTGGTGTGCCACCCTCCTTTAGGCAGCGTTCATAGTTCCGACAGCAGCGGCGATTGCCGCGATCGTCGGTGCATGGCAGCGCGCGCCCCAACGCTATTGTGGATGCTCGCCTGATGAATAAGGGAATTCAACTTGTAAGACCTTCTTTACTCTTAATAAGGGCTACTAACAGACAAAGCTACGACTTTCTACACATAAGCAGATCTGGAATATGAGGTAAGAAGGTTTCACTTCCTTTTAGGTCGGGGTAAGACCAACTCCATTTCCTGGGTGAGCTTTTTTTGTTTTTATTGTTTCAACTTATGCATGCGCCTCAGGAATTCCTATCGTCTAAGCTGTTCCAACTTCCAAAACATTCATAGTTTACAAGTCGAGTTCAAACAACGAAGAAAAAAAGAAACAGAAAGAAACTCTCCTAGGAACCAAAACACTAATCATTTTACGCGACATCAACAGGTGAAAACTTCATAAACCTCATGTACAACCTCGACGAATGAAAAAAGAAGCAATAAAAACGTACCTCAAGTGAAGCTCTCGCGCTTTTTGCTCATTTCTATCCTAAATAAGAAAGAAAATAGAAAACAAAAGCGATTAAGCTGGGCTCACCTTCCCTTGTGTCAAACCAAGCTTCAGTACCTAAGGAAATTGCAGTTAAAGGAAAAAAGCATAAAATTGAGCCGCTTACCCCCAGAAGCCTTCGGAGCGCAAGTAATAGCGTTGGGGCGCGCGCTGCCATGCACCGACGATCGCGGCGATCGCCGCTGCTGTCGCGAACTATGAACGCTGCCGTAAAGCGGTAAAGAGGACGGAGAGTGGGGGAAACACGTCGATTCTCTATCCGCATTCATACGATTTTGTAATTTCAGCGGTTTTCTTTTGTTTTCCTTTTCCACAATTTCTTTTGTTGTTTTTAGAGTTCACAACTCCCACTACAGTCGAAAATTTTCTCAAGCTAACCCAAAAAATATTAGAACTGTTCTGGAAAAGAAATTATGAGTAGCGTGAAAGTCTTTCGAGCGAAATTATTCCTTTTCAAAACTTTTCCGGTAGCTTACTGCTTGCTTAATATTATAAGCGAGAACTCACTAACCTCAGAATAAACCTCTAGTAATATAAAGTGTAATGAAAGTGCAGAAAAAAAGCTATTTGATTTCAGCAAGATGACACCGCTGAAGATGCGCCTTCATTCAAACTTTCTACTTGCCCACCTTCAAATAGAGAAGTAAAAGAAGCAAAATAGAAGTTCCCCCTCAAGATGTCGAATCA